AACCCCAAGTGCTTTCTCTGCTCACGCACCAGAGCAAGCAATAATAGTATTTTTCATTGATACAGTGATTTTCATCTCTAGGACTCTCTGCAGACCTGGCCTGTGGTCTGGGGATGGCCTCACCTGGGCAGGTGAACTCCAGTCATACACAACAAAACTGTGCTCCTTGTCTCTGCAGAGATTTTGGAAATGTCACCTGCCTGCTCAGCACCTTCCAGGGAGCTTCGGTCTCATCTCACCCGGAGCTGCATAAGGGCCTCAAGGCTCAGTCTAGGAAGTGGTTCCACCTGATGGACTTGCCTTTAGCTAGATGGGGCCTTCAGGAGTGGATTGACTGAAAGCTCTGCTCTCTCCAGTGTCAGAGAAGCCCTGCTCAGCAGGGAGGAGCAGCCAGGACTTCTCTGGAGATATTTGAAACCAACCTGGACACAACCCTTTGTAACCTGCTCCAGGTGAACCTGCTTTAGCAGATCTCCAGGGGTTCCTTCCCAACCATTCTGTAATTCTGTGGTTTTCTGGCTCACTGTCCTCAGTGACTGGGCTGCCACGTGCATCACCTATGAGAGAGGAAGGCAGGAGGCAGAGGAGCAGTGTAAAACATGGCCAGGTCACTAAAAATAAGAAATGAAAAGCTGAACATGAGTTTGCAGGAACTGAAAGCGGGTGTAGGGTGGACTGAGAGCCATGGGAGAAAACAACTGAGTCACAGAGCAGCAGGTCTGAGAGCAGGAAAGGTTAAAACAAATATTGTTGAATTGGCTTAAGAGTGCAATCAAAGCTGGAGATTGCATTCGGGTTCTACACACTGAGCTGTTGTTCTATCCTGTCCTAATTTCTGTCAGTGTTATTGCTGGAGGAGCAGCTCCACTCGGGCTCTGAGCTCCTGAAGGAAACATGAGTGGGACTTCAGGAAGGGTGGGTTTAGATTAAACACTAGAGAGAAATGACAGTCTTAAGCTCTGCCAGGGGAGGTTTAGGTTGGATATGAGCAAGACAATTTTTTACAGAGAGAGCAATCAGACATTGGAATGGGCTGTGCCGAGGGAGTTGGGGTGGGTGCCTTGCCCTGCTCCCTGTGACACTGCAGCCTCTGTGCTGAGCTGACAGTACAGGGGTTTGCCTTGGGAACAAAACTTCAAAGCTAAAAATTAAAATAAAAATAAAAATAAAAATTTACAAGGGTGATCCTTGTTGTGGGGGCTGCAAATGCACAGCAATGTGTTCAGGGTGATGTTGTCTTTGGCTAAACCACTTCTTGAGTACAGCCTGACCCCTGACTCTTGGCACGGGTGCCTGGTTGTGCTGAGGCTGCACTGAGCTCAGCCATGCCTTACACGGTGGTGTAAGGTATGAGCACCTTGTGTGCTCAGTCCTTCAATAATGGGGCATAGGGACGCTCTTGGATTCACCTCCCAGGTGCATTTGTGGGTGTTGCCAGGTTTGAGGACAACACTGAGCCCCTTCCACTTCACATCCCTCTTGAGCCACTCGCACCTCTTGCTCCTAAATGAGTGTTTGTGGTGAGCTTGGGATGAGGATGACTTTGCTCCTGGCAGCACACTTCCATAAAACCAGTGTTTGGGAAACACAGCTCATTCTTTTTTGCAGTGGTTGGCATTTGTCCCTGCTGGCAGGGACTGCTTACTCGTTTTTCTTCCTCGTAGTTATTGTTTGAGACATACCCTGACACCAGAGGGCTTGTGGGTTTTAATTAGTAACCTTGGGTGGTTTAATGATCCATGCAAATATCCAGTCCTCTTCTGAATCCTACTCAGTTCTTACCCTTGGCACCCTGCAGCAAACATCTACGCAGCAGAATGTGCACGATGTTACAACTAACAACTTTGGGTATCAAGTTGCTCAGGTTTGATTAAAAAAATAAAATTAAACATGCATTTTGTAGGCTATGCTGTTACTTAAAAGAAAACAGTTGTGGAAAGATGAGTATCTAGCTGAAACATTTTACAGCTAAATATTTTCCTTCCCAGTTTGACTTCCAAATAACATCTGTCGTGTTCCTCCAAAAGCCCCAGCTGGCTAATGGAAAAAACTTGCTTTTGTTTTTCTGGGGCTCTTTCTCCAAAATCCAATGTTTCAGCCAATAATCAGGAAACAGGGTTTCAGAGTGAAAAGACCTGGGTTACTGTCCCATTTTTAATGAGTAAAAATTTAAGTGTTTTATTTTGAAACCAGCTTAGTAGCTCTATGGGACAACTTATTATTTTTTACAGCACCTTGTACCACGGGACTGACCTCTTGTGTAGGATTAGAGATCCTGTAAGCTCTGATAATACCAAGTAATTAACAACCCATCAGGAGCTGATTCTTGGAAGTGAAGTCAAAGTTTTTGTAATGACTCTTAGCAAATTAATTGGTGTTTGGCTGCCTGTGACTTCAAGGAGGAGTAAACTGGAAAGCAAAGGTGTTTGGGGTTTGCTTTTTTCACTCTTCCCAAACTGTGAACCACACAAGCTAAATAAGGATAGGGCAGTTCCTGAAAATTACCAGAAACTGAATAATTTTCTCAAGATTCATTAAATGTGTGAGCTGCAGCAGCTACAAGGAAATACATAGTACTTAGATGTTGAAAAATAAACTTTATAATGATTATATTTTAAAAATGTTTCTGTGCTTCCT